TGCCGGAAGAACTAGGTTCTTTTTTTCGTTTTTTTTTTTTTTTTTAGTCGGTAACTCCATAATTGGAAGTATTTGCGTTCCTCTTTCTGTCGACAGAGGCGTGGGCCGCGGCTCTCCAGAGAAGAGCCAAGGGCTGGTTAATTCTTTGGGCTCTCGAGTTTTAATAAACAAATGTCCCTCGCGCTGTTCTCAGACACTTGCAAGTGCTTCCCAGGCGGCTCGGGCTGGGTGTCTGTGTGTGTAACTGGACAGGCTGAGGGCTGCTTTTTGCATTTGTAACTTGCAGCTTGTTCGTTAGGATTGTGGAATCAGAAGGATATGGTGCCTGCTGAGGAGCAGTGCAAGCGCTTTCCTTTGTAGAGCCTTTTTAACTCTCACCTGCTCCCATGCCTTTGTAACTGGGAAGGTCTCTGCCTTGGCCGTGGCTGGGCCACAGGCTGGGAGGAGCCACTTGGCGTTTGTGTGATGAAAACCCAGACACGGTTGATTCCCCATTTTCTGACACTGGCACTTCAGTCCCTGTGTGTGATGGGACCTCAGGGCAGCCTGGCATACGATACCAAGAAGCCTGCGCGTTCGTGTGCAAACTGTGCTCTCTCTTTGGGACGTACCTACATTGAAGGTATGCCCCACGCACAGGTGCTACTCTTGAGAGGACACCTGGGTTTCTCTGCTAGGGGTTGGATTAGATTCCTTAAGGTTCAGATTTGCCAGGAAACGTTCCTTTTGTGAAAGGTCCGACGTGCTTCATCTTCAGGCTCTTCTTTGAAGGAGGGGGGTTCGTTGAGGCCTCTCTGGAGTCCCTGCAGTAGAACCGATGCATCCCAAGCTGCTTGTCTGGTGCCCCGTACAGAGTAACAGCGTGATGGAGTCCAGCCCCTCTGCAGCCGCCGAGATCCTGGCTTTCCTGCTGGATGCGCTGGCCAGGAAGGCAGTATCCGGCCCTAGCAAGGTCAGGGACTGCAGTGGGGCAGGCTCGTGTGAATGAGCAGCTCCTCGCGTGGGGACGGTGGAGGCAGAGCCTTCCACCCCTCTGGGCTGACGGGGGAAGCTGCTCTGGGGCAGCGTCACGGAGCCCTCGCTCTGCTCGGGGCACCTCCCTTCAGTGGTGTTGGCCGCCTGTCCTGAGCGAGAGCAGGTGTCAAGCACCGCTTGCGTGTGGCCCCAGTGCTCACCTGCAGCAAGCGCCACCTCGCCCTCCTGTACCAGGGCTGGGCATGGCCTCCTTGGCAGCTTTACGCCTGCACTGCGCTCATGCAGGAGACTGGGTGCTGGAGCTGCAGCTGGCTGTGCCCTCTCCTGCCTGCCTCTGGTCAGCCTGGCCCGTGCATTTGCTGGGCGCTTGCAGTGACACACAGGGGACATAAGCCTGACCAAGGGTCCTTGCAGCACAGGGCAGTGGGCGCTGGCTCCCATCTGCCCCACGATGGGAATTCAAAGCGAGTGTCACTACGGGGCATCGCCCAAGCGCAAGCTGGGCCGCACGTCGGTCTCTTCCCCTTCTCCGCCCAAGCCCCTGGTTCCAGCCAGGAGAAAACCTCATGCGCTGCAGCTGCTCTGGCAGAGGAACAGCCACTGTTGAGGGCGGGGTGGGGGGGAATGGGGTCCAGCCCAGCTGCCCTGGCTCTCGGGAAGGCTGCAGACGCCCATGCCCCTCCCTCAGTTTGGCCCTGCCCCAGCACTGTCCGGCTCCTTGGGAGAGTCGGGGCCTGCTGCCCTCACACTTTCTAGGGCCTGCCTTTCCCTGCACAGCTGCCCCGTGTGCTCGCCTGCCTGCAGCGGTGGTGGGGCCGGTGGATGGAGTCCGTTGTCCGGGGCCAGGAGATTCAGTGGAACTGGAGATAATCCCTCTCGTGGCTCCTCGGCTGACTGGCAGCAGCTGAACAGCCTCACCCCGCAGCTAACGGCTTCGCTGCACCTGCGAGTCCCAGGGCACCCAGTTCCAGCTCTGTCCTGTCCCGTTTTCCCCCCAACACACACAGTCGTTCTCTCCCATGGGAGCAGTTTGATGCCAGCGCAGCAGGGACACCCTGCCTCCAGCAGTGGCACAGCCCTCCGGGGCCAGCTGCAGCTCCAGCATGCGACATCTTGCTGCAGCTGTCCTGAACTGCCCAGGCCGGCTCCCCGTGCGGTTGGTGCCAGCCCTGCCATGTCATGGGCACATGCAAGGGCCCAGGGCAGCGGAGGGCTGGCAGGGATGCTGAGGGCAGCGAGTGGTAGCAGGCTGTAGGCCCCAGGAGGGTGCACAGCAGCTCCCCTGCCCCAGAGCAGGCTCCTGCCACGGCCTCCCCTGGGCTGTCGCAGCTGCTGTTCTCCCCCCACAGCTGGTTCCCTTCTCCCCGCCCTGGTGGCGTCCTGCGGTCTCCTCCCCTCTCCGCGGCAGTCCCTGCCTGAACACGCAGCATGGGTCCTCCGGGGCTGAGGCTGCGCCAGGCAGGCGCTCCCTGCAGAGCCCTTGTTTTGCAGGGTGCGGGCAGCACCGTGGCCCCGGCCCAGCCGTGACTCATAATTTCTGTGCCTGCGTCTGGGAGGCAGCACCGGAATAGTTACACGCGGAGCTGGGGACGTGAGGGAGTGGTTGCAGAAATACTTCAGGCCTGCGCTAAGCCGCTAAAAATACACGCCAGGCCCTCCTGCTCCCCGGGCTGGGGGGGCTGCGGGTCCCTCTCCTCTGCAGGGCACTGCCAACCCTGCGAGCAGGTTCTCCTGGCAGAAGCGCCAGGCCCTGAGCCTGGGCTCCCGCTCGGCGAGGGCTGAGCTGCTGCTTCTCCCGGGCTCCGCAGCTGTCGGGTGCCTGTCCTCACTCTTCCCCAGCGGGGTCCTGGGGCTGGTGGCCAGGACACGGTCCCGTGCATGCCCTAACTCGGGGGAGCCCCGCGCCAGCTGTGTTCAGACCTGGCTCCTTCCCTCTGCTCATCCCAGGGCCTCGCCCCTGGCAGCTGCAAGCTGGCTGAGCCAAAGGAGGATGCCGTGGCGCCGTGCAGACAGGTCCCCTTCGCTCTTGGGAGCGCTGGTCTGGCTCCCCAGGCTTTGTTCCCATTGACGCCCCAGCACGAGTCCAGCTGGGGTGCGGCTCTGCTTCTCAGAGGCCAAGCAGCGGCACAGGAAAGCTGGCACCTGCCGGCCTCTCCCCACGGCAGGCCTCGGCAAGGCTGCGCCTGGCACGGTGGAGGGGAGCTGGGAGCCGGCCAGCGCAGTGCCGGCCGCGGCGGCGTCCATGCAGCGTCAGAATTCCTCTCCGGCGACAACACGACGAATATAGCGAGCAGGTGGTGGGAGAAGTGGTGACTCAGGGGGCGCGGGGCCGCTCCGACCTGCTCGCCGGCTCTGGGAGTAGCAGGTGCGGCACGAGCTGCGGGGTGCTCCCAGCATGGCTGCAACAGCCGGGGTGCTGCTCTTCATCGTCGGGCGCAACACCCTTCCTCCAAGCACCCGGGTCTCCCCCGCGGGGGCCTGCAGGGCTATGGGGGCAGTTGCCAAGCGGTCCCAGCCGGAGAGCGGTGACCGTAGCAGGGAAGCTGCTGGGCCTGGGCTTGGGCTGCAGGCTGCTCCGTGCCCAGAGCTGCCACCAGCGCCCCAGGGGCTCAGCAGGCCGCGGCAGGGGTTTGCCCCAGAGCTGGGGCAAGCGCAGGTCGGACCAAGGCTGCACGGGAGCCACAGCCTGGCACCCCCAGGGATGCTCCGGGACCTGGGCCCAGGTGCTGCAGCCCGGCGGGGCTGGGGGCGAGGGGCTGGCAGCCGGGGCGGTGCTCGCTGCAGAGGGGCCGGACGTCCCCATAGCCGAAGCCCCTTGTGGGGGGCGCGGGGCCCCGCCAGCCCTGTCTGCTGGGGAAACGCAGGCTCGCCAGGCGCCTCCCTGCCCTTCGCAGAACCTGGTTGCCATGGCCACGGCCGCTCAAGGTTAGCTGGGAACGCCCCCGCTAATTAGCCCCGGCTGCTGCCCAGGTCCCCACGGCGTGGGTGGGGGAGCAGGGCCTGGCTGCGGGCCAGGCGCTCCCGCGGGGCCCAGCATGGGGTGGGCTCTGCAACCCATTACAGCCCCTCCAGCCAAGATGTTTCTCATTTAGGCAGGGGAGGCCATGGGGGTGCTCCCCCGCTGCTGGGCCGGGCCGGGCATCGCAGGCAGCAGGGCCGTCTGCAAGCCATGCACGCGGCCCCCGCCCCACGCCCTTCTGCCCCCCGCTGCCCCAGAATCCTGTCGTCGGGGGTCCAAGCTCAGCGAGCTCCCCCGGGGTCCCGGGTGCCAGCTCCAGCGGCACGTTCCCTCTCCCGGCTGCGCTGTGGGCTCGGCTGCCAGGGCCGGGGCTGGGCAGGCAGGGATTTTCCATGGCCTAGTGTGGGGCGTGCGCAGCCAGCGGCCTGCGCCATTCGGCCCTGCATCCACCCATTCCCTGGACAGCGCTCGCCAGGACGGGCTGCCAGGCCGGCGGGGGGGAGGCAGCTGCAGCTCGGCCTCCGGATGGAAAACAGCAGCTTGTGCTTGCATGCGGCACGGCGACCCTGCCGCCCGCCTGCGCACGGGGCTGGGCACGGCAGGCAGGGCGGCCAGGCTGCCCCAGGGGCTGGCGGGACCAGGTGGAGCTCAGCCCCAGCGCGGCGCCCGGGGCCGCTGCAGCCCGGCTCGGCCCCGGAGCGGTACCCGACGCAGGGCCCTGGCGTGGCATCGTGGTGTCAGGTGATGTCAGCGTTGCCATGGCGCCAGCGAAGCTGGCTGCATCCGGCAAGGCTGCCACGCTCCCCGCACGCAAACCCGCCTGTGGGAGATGCTTATTTTTAACATCTTCCTCCTACGACGGCGGCAAGATAGATTTCCCCTGCTCTGCCCAGCCCCGACGTCCACCCGGACATCCTGCGGCGGAAGAGCCCCTGGGAAGCAGCAGGCACTCCCCCCCCCCCCCCCCCCCCCCCTGGGTCGCACCCCCAGATCAGCCCTGGCGCGCTGTCCCCGGGGCCCAGCTCTGCTCAGTGGGGTGGGAGGAGGAGGGTGGGGGCTGCCCCATTCCCCCTCCAGCCCCAGGCTGCAGGGAGCCGAGGGCCTCAGCTGGACGCGGTTCCCTCGCACAGCTGCTTCCCATCACTGGGAGTGGGCTCTGGGCTCAGCTGCAGCCATCTGGCCGGCCCCAGGGAGCCGGGCTGCAGCACGCTGAGCTGGATCCAGGCCCTCGCCTGCCGCAGGGGATGCTGCAGCGCTCAGGTACCAGGTTCTGGTACAGGCTCCCCCATGCTGGTGTCCTGGGCCAGGCGTGGGGAAGAGCTGCCCCCAGCCCCCTGGGCTGCAAGGCCTGGGGCAGCAGGCACCACGGGCCAGTCCCTGGCGCAGCGTCCCAGAACGGGGGTGCTGGTGGGAAGGGCTGCAGGCAGTGCCGCGCGCGGGTGGAGCCCGGTGGGACATGAGCTCACTGGCCAGGCCGGGCCTGCAGCTGGTGGGCGGGGGTCCGGGCCACGGGCCCAGCGCTCGGGCAGGGGGGGCTCCCCGCACGCTGCGGTGGAAGAGCAGCAAGTGACGCAGTGTCTTGGGCCGCAGAGCGAGGGAGGAGGAAATGGCAGATGGGGCTCCCAGGGGGGGCTGTGCCTGTCCCGGGCAAGCAGTTCCTGCCTCCCTCCCTCCGGGCCTGGGGGGAAGCCTGGTGCTCCCCGGCGTGGAGAAGCAGTGCTCTGGCTTGGGGAGGCGTTGGGTGGTGCTGGAGGGTGCTGAGTCCGGAGACGGTGCCTGGGAGGCTCCCCTGCCCCTGCAGCCTCCCTCCGTGCCCAGGCAGGCGCTCAGCCCGGGCCCCGGGCCCCTTCCTCCAGGCAGCGAGGCCCTGCTGGGCTCGGGGCTGGGACGAGCGGGACTCCAGCCCGCCTGGAGCCTGGGGTCCACTCTGGGGTTGCCCTAATTGCTGCAGCACTAATTGGAACGGATTCATTGCCATGGCAACTCTGGCCCTAGGGTCACCGAGCCCCGGGGCGCCGACTTGAAGGGCCCCCCGCTGCTCCCTGGCCCCAAACGCCCTCCCGGCCCCGTGAGCTCCGTGTTACTAAATCCGAGCTGCGAAGTCATCTCCCCACAGCTGCTGCTGCTTCTCAGGGCTCCCGGCCGCAGCGGCACTAGTGGCACCTCCGCTCTGCGGCAGCCCGGGCACGCTCACCCACGGGGACCCCGGAGCGCCGCTGGAGGGGGGCGCTCGGAATAAGGCAGAGGGCCCCGGGCTGCGGCCGCTCCCCGGCAGTGGGTGCGGGAGCTGCAGAAGCAGCAGCCCCCACGGGCAGAGGCAGCGCCTGCGCCCAGGAGGCGATGGCTGAGCCTCCCCGGGGGCCCTGGCCCTGGCCTGCTGTCCCAGGCAGAGCTGGGGCCCCTTGCACCGACCCCTGCGTCCTGGCACCCCAGCCCCATCCAGCACGGGCTCCTCCCTGCTCAGGTCCCCGAGCCTGCAGCCCGGATGAGCGATTTGCTGCTCTTCAAAACAGGAAGCTGCCTCGGATGATGGGGACGGGAGGGGCTCCCGGCTGGGCTGCCTTGCACTGGGGAGCTGCCGCCCCTGCCCCCGCACCGTGCCCCCAAGGGACCTGTGCTCGGTCCTGGCTGCGGGGCCTTTCTGCAGCCAAGCACAGCCCTGGGGGTCGGGGCCCCTGCTCCTGCGCGGCAATGTGGGCTGGGGCCAGTGCAGATCCTGCCCAGGGGCTTGGGGCCAGACTGACCGGCATCTCCCCAGCTCTGCTCCAGCACGTGGGGCCTGCAGAGCCCCAGCCCCGAGTGCAAGGTGCTCAGTGCCGCGCGGAGGGCCCCCATGTGAGCGTTGGTTGAGGTCAGGGTGACTGGGGGGGGGGTGCAGGTGCCGTGCTCGCTCTCTCTACCAGATCTCTGGTGCTTTGAGGGAGCAAGAGCTCATTGCCAGGCCAGGGGTGCCCTCCCTGTCCCTGCTGGGCTCGGGGCAGGGCCAAGTATCCCAGCCCCCTTCCCTACCATCATCCCCCAGTCCCCGTCTGCTCCTTGCGAATGGCCAGCGGGGTGTGTGCCAGGGAGCAGGGGGCACCGGGCAGGGATGGGGACCGTTGCATTGTGCTGGGCAGAGAGGAAACGTCTTGGCGGCTCCAGCACCACGTCCTGTGCTTGGCTGGCACCTGCCAGTCCCGGGCAGGGCCGGCCCCGGTGCTGAGCCAGCTGGGCTACAGCGGGGAGGGGATCTCGGGCATGGTACTGCCCTGGGGACCATGTCGTGCCCTGGCCCAGCTGAGCTGGCACGTGTGGGCTCCTGGTCGAGCCAAGGAGCTCTCCTCTTTTCTCCAGGGCCACTGTGCTGGAGCGCAGGCAGGAGGCAAACGGGAGTGCCCCGATCTCCCCCGCGGCACATGGGGCCAGGGCCAAGGGCAGAGCTGCCACCGTCTGCAGGGCCTGCACCGAGCCGCCTCCTGCCGCTCCCAGACGAGTCTGCCTGTGTCACTGCAGGGCAGCCACCCCCTTCCTGCCCCCATGTCCTCCCCCAGCCCAGCCAGGGGTTCCCAGTTCCACCTGTTGTCAGAGCCAGGCCCAGCCCTGCACACAAAGCACGAGCAGGAGTCCTCCTTGGCACACGTGCCCACAGGTCTCTGCTGTGCAGTGACCGCCGTGACCTGCCTCCCCCTGCTCTGCAGCCCACGGGATCCGGGCCCCGGCCACAACGTGGAACCGGGAAACTTGGTTTGGATATTTCCCCTTTCAGCTTCCTTTCCAGGAGAGGCCGTACGGAGCTCGCCAGCCGGGCATGCAAGCTGGGGTGTGCAAGGGTGTGTGGGTACACACGCCTGTTTGCCTGTGTGCACACGTTTGTTAACATGCCCGTCTGCCTGCGTGCGGGTGCGGGTGCGGAGCAGGTGTCTCCATGAAAGTCCCTGCTCCACCCTGGCTGTGGCTCGTTCTTCCCGTGGGCCGTGGGACTGGGCTCACGCCCTTCCAGAGCAGCACTGCGGGCTCCCCTCCCTGCCGTCTGCCAGGGCCGGAGCCGCCCGGCTCAGACTCGCTGGCATCAAGGCCGCCGGGCGAAGGGGGAGCAGAGGCCTTGGCCACGGGCGAGGCCGCACCAGCCGCCGGAGCCCCTCGCGCCTGGCTGGGGCCTGTGGCCGAGTGGGGGTTTATGCACAGCAGCTGCGCCCGCCCCCCACCGCAGCCGGCTGCGGGCGAGCGGGGCCTTGGCGTCACTGCTGACGCGGATCCACCCCCTCAGCCGCCTGCAGGGCTGTGACGCAGTGTGCACTGCTTTAACTCCTTCCCTGCTGCAGTGCAGTGCAGTGCAGTGCCGTGCTAGGCAGGCCCCCTCCGGGCACGAGGGGCCACGGACTGGGGTGGAGGCAGAGCACTGGAGGCCCCAGGATTAGGGCACCCCCGCACCAAGCACTGCTAGCTGCACAGGGGCTCCCTCTGCCCGGGGGTCACAGAAGACCTGGCTGGGCTGCACGGTGCAGTACCAGGGTCTGCTGCATGAACCTGTGCCCCCGAGCTGGGCTCGCTCCCCTGTAGTCCCAGGCTGCTGACCCACAGGACTGGCTGCTGGGAGCCGGGCGCTGGGGCCAGCTCCTCAGCCTGGCAAGGTGGTGGAGCCTCCATCCGCCCAGGGTCACAGAGCCGGACACGGGGGGACAGTGGCCTGCCCAGTGCAGGCAGCTCGGTGTGGCGTACCCTGCTGCCAGCCCAGCTCTTCTGTGGCCCTGGAAGTGCAGGCCCAGGCGGTGTCAGCTCGGTCCTCGCTCACTGCCCGGGAGGGAGCTTGGCTCGCGCTAGCTGGCTCTGGTGATCGGGCACAGCTGCTCTCCAGAGCTGCTTTCTCCTCGAGCGCTGGCGAGAGGGGCCCACGGCTCCTGCTGCCAGTGGCGGGACAGCCGGTCCAAGGGGCAGCCCCCACCCCCTTCCCCAGCGGGCTTCTGTCCAGGGCTGGCAGCATGGTGCTGAGGTTGCTCCCGTGTGCAGCGGGCCGGGCAGCTCTGCCAGGGTTTGGGGGCTGTGGGGAATGGCCAGGTCCCACCCGCAGCGCCGTGGCTCCCGCGCACGGCTGGGAGCAGACACGTGGGTCACGATGGTTCTCCCTGCAAAACAGGAAGCGTTGCCTGGAGCTGGCGGGGAGCAGGGGGCGTGGGGGAGGGCGGTGTTTTGCTCCAGGGTTTCTGTTTCCCCCAAGGCAGCCCCCTCCCTCCAGCCAGCCTGCAGGCACTGCCTGCCCCTGCTTCTGGGGCGAGGCCTCGCAGGCAGGAAGGAGTTAAAGCAACCCTTCCCCGTTCCCCAGCTCTGAGGCCCCCAGCCTGACCTGGGGAGGGGGCGTAGAGCCAGGGTGGGCATGAGTCACGGTGAGTGTCAGCCTGGGCTGGGGGAGCCCTGCCGCCCCCTGCACCGTGCCGCTGAGAAACCTGCTTCTCCCAGCTCTGGTGCCCCACGCTTCCTGGGACTCGGTGTGCCAGGAATGGCCTTGAAAGGCTGCTGCGGAGCCCCGTGCAGCCAGCCAGCGCCTCACCGGCCTGCAGGCCCATGGCTCAGCACTGCAGCACCCTGGGCCGGGGGCTCTGGGCCAGGGGGGCGGCAGGTCCCCGAGCCAGGGCTCCGTCACAGCCCTGGTCGCACCTGCTGCAGGGGCACAGGCAGGTCCCCTGGGCTGAGGGAGCAGGGCTGGCCTGCCTGGGCCTTGTCCTGCACCCACGGGCATGGAGGGGATCAGGCCAGGGCGGCAGCTGTCAGGATGCTCCCAGCTCAAGGGCTGGGGGCGGGCGCCTCGTGATCCTACCCTGGGCTCTGCCTTTGGTTTGTCCCCATCCTGCCGCAGCTCCTCCGTGGGAGGGAAGCTCCCGCCTCCTGCCTTTGTCTCCCAGAGCAACCTAATCCCAGAGCATCTGCCCTGGCTTCGCCTCCAGGCTGGTAAGTCCCAGGGCTGCGCACGCACTCCTGGCTCTGATCACACGGGCTCCCCGCTGACTCTGGGTCCAGGCTAAGGGCGAGGGGATGCCCTTTCCTGTGGCTTCTCTGTGGAGCAGCTACCACCCCAGCCGGCCTACTGGGGCAGGGAGACCCCGAAGAGCAGTGCCCAGCCCTGCTCCGCACAGGCGTCCCCTGGGCCCCAGCGCGGCCTCGGGGGTGCTGGCGGGTCACCCTCCGGCTGCTGGCCCCAAGGAGCTCTGCTGGGACATGGGAAAGTCTGGCCTCACCTCGGGGAGAAGAGTCGGGACTGGGGGTGGTGGCAGGCAGGGGAGTGCAGGCCGGGCCGTGGGTCGGAGCCATGTCCCCTCCTGCTGCCTCTGCCCCGCCTGCCGCCCTCCTCGCCCTGCTCCTCTCCCATGGCTGCGTTTGCTCCCTCTGGTTGAGCATTGCCCTTCCCTCCCAGGCACGTTGAAGGCCACGGGGGGCCTTGGGCTGGCCTGGCCCAGGACAGGCATCGCGGGTGCTGTGCAGTGCAGAGGCTGTGGGAGCTGCCCCGGGCCCCCCACAGCGCTCTGGGGAAGTCTGAACCCGGGACCCTGTGAGTGTCTGTCACCCGCCCGCAGCTGGGGCCCGGTGCAGTGAGCGGCTGTGCTGGGCACCCCGGGCGCAGCATCCAGGGGCAGTGCGGCCCAGGCCTGCAAGGATGTGGGGGTACAACGGGCATTGAGGCAGGTCACAGTCCACCCAGGCAGGGAATGAGCTGCCCTGCAGCTGATGCTGATGCTGGGCTCTCATCAGGTCACAGGAGGGGGGAGTCCCCCACTGTGGAGGCCTGGGAGCTCTTCCAGACCCCGGCTCTGCATGACAGCGGGCACATCAGCTACCCTCTCTGTGCCTGTGGTGGTGGCATGCAAGCCAGGGCCCCCGGAAGCTGGGAGACACGTGGAGGACCCCTGCATTCAGAGCACCACAGACCGGGCCCTGTCCTGCGCACCGGGGCTTGCTGTTCCTCACCAGGAGACCTGCCCACTGCCTGAGCTGCTGGAAGCATCTTCGGTGAGGAAAAACAGCCGGCCCATTGCACACAGCCCGGCCACAGCTGGCTGCAGAGCCCCTCCCAGCTCGGCACACTCCAGGCACCTCCCCGGCCAGGGGCGCAGCGGGAAGGGCCTGGCTGAGTCCTGGAGACTGAGCCGGTGTCAGGCGCCTCCTCGAAGGCCGCGCTGCGTTTGCCCCCAGGGCTGTGAGCAAGGGTCTCGCTGGGCGGCCGCAGGTGGTAGAAGAGCCCAAGCCACGCGAGGCAAGAAAGACCCGGGCGGTGTGGGGGAGAGCGTGCAGGCTGGCGGGGCTGGGACAG